CTTATATCTTAAATTAACCCATTTCTATTAATCTTACCGGTGTCTTAACATCTTCTCATGGCAGCGGCTGGCAGCGGCTCCCTGGCTCTGCCTTCCACTTCCCAGACCTCTCCTCTCTCTTTGTCCTGCCCATGCTTCCTGTCTAGCTACTGGTCAATAAGCGTTTTATTTATCAATGAATCATCCACAGCACTTTGCAGCAAAACTGGGCCCAGTCATCTATGTGGTAACTAACTCAGAAGTCAATCCTTTACCGGCTTCTCTCTTTCCGTCCCTACCCTGAGCCATTGATCTCTCCTGTTTATGGGGAAGCAACTCCTGATTCATCTCCCTAAACTGAAGCCAGAGCCTCAGGCAAGGTAACCATGGAAGCTGGTGATGTTTCTCTCCACAGTGAGCAATCTGCTCAGGGTAAGAGTGTGTGGCTTGCTGTCTAAAATAGAGGGGACTGGGTCTTGGGCACCCCAACTAGTCAAGGCTGACATGGGTGTCGACAATTCAGGAGATTTCTTGTTTTTCTCTAAGAACTTTGTCACAAATCTAAAACATAAGAAGATGTCACATCACCCCTCTTTTCTGGGGGCACTTTTACCTTATCTCAGCTCACCTCAGTTTATATATCTATTCCCAAAGTGGCCCTTCCTAACCCTGTGGTAATATTTTATTTGTGCTGAAATGTGGTGTAATTTATTTGTGCTTTGATAAATAAAGCTTGCCTGGAGATCGGGGTGGGGGAGGAGGCCAGACATTTTAAGTAAACAAGGTCAGGCAGCACATACCCTTAATCCAATCACTTAGGAGGCAAGGTCTCTGTGTTCAAGGCCATACTAGGGAACAGAGCCAAGTGTGGTGACACAAACCTTTAACCCAGTACCAACCATAGAGACCTGGAGGTCTGTACAGACAGTGACAAGGCGGTGAGATAGCTGGGCTAAGAGCCAATGAGAAGGCAGAAAAGCAAGGCGTATAAAGGCATGGGTAGACAAGAAGTAGCTCGCAATTGGAAGCTGCAGAGTTGGTGAGGTAAGGTTGGCTGGTGGCTATTCCTATTTCCCTGATCTAAGGCTTTCACCCCTATATTTGGCTCCGTGTTTTTTATTTAATAAGATCATTTAGAAATTCATCTACATTTGGTGCCCAATGTGGGGTGCCAGATGTAACACAAATCTTAGAAGGTCTTATTAATAAAAAAAAAATCTCAGTGCCAGTTATTGGGGTGAATGCTGGAAGATCAGAGAAGCAGAACAAGCCACAGCTACCTTACCTTGCCAACTTCTCAGCTGATCCTGTTTCTTCAGACTGGAAGCCTCTGAGTCCTCATCTGGAATGGATCTCAGCTGAACTGCTGCTAAAAGCCTAAAAGCTTAAAAAGTTAAAGTTCCTGGTCCCCAACCCTTATGGCACTTAAGTTAGCCAACCTTTTTAATACTAAAATAAAGATGATTAAACAAATAATATCACAATTGATGTTACATACATCCCATCAACATTAATTATCCTCTCATTTAATTGTTCCATTTTCAGACTGCCTAATGTGTTATCAAACAGAAACCAAATTCCTTCCCTTGTAAAAATATTTCCCATTTTTTAATGTGGGGAAAAATTATCTTTTAACTAATTTTACCCTTTAAGATATGTTAATTGACTTACCAAATCTATCTACTGCATAGAACAGTAGAAGTCCAAGAGAATTCCAAAGCAGCTACCTAGTGTGGTGGCAGTCCAAAATGGGAATCAAGACAGAGAGAGACACAGAGAGAGAGAGAGAGAGAGACAGAGACAGAGACAGAGACAGAGAGACAGAGAGACACACAGAGAGACACAGAGAGAGAGAGAGAGACAGAGAGAGAGAGAGAAGAGAAGAGAAGGAGCCTAGTACACCAGAAGAAAAAAAGCTAAAGGAAATCTGGCCATGTGACATTGTTAATGTAATTCTTGACTGTATATATTGTATATACTTTTTCTTATTAGTTATAACATTTTTATTTTAAATGTGGTTGCTATATTATGTACCCCAATAAACTTATCTGGGGGTCAGAGAACAGAACAGCCACTATATTAAACATAGAGGCTAGGCAATAATAGCACATGCCTTCAATCCTAGCATTCCAGAGGTAGAGTTCAAGGCCATACTGGAAACAGTCAGGCATGGTGACACACGCCTTCAATCCCAGCACTTGAGATCTCATGTCTTGCTTGGGAAAGACATGTGCTTTTAATCCTAGGAAGTGATAGCAGGAAGCAGAAAGATATATAAGGCATGGGGACCAGGAACTTTAGTTTTTTAAGCTTTTAGGCTTTTAGCAGCAGTTAAGCTGAGATCCATTCCAGATGAGGACTCAGAGGCTTCCAGTTTGAGGAAACAGCATCAGCTGAGAAGTTGGCAAGGTAAGGTTAGCTGTGGCTTGTTCTGGTTCTCTGATCTTCCAGCATTCACCCCAATAACTGGCACTGAGATTTTTATTAATAAGACCTCTTAAGATTCGGGTTACATAACCCCTATGACCTCCCATCTCCTTCCTGGTTGGCATCTGGAACTCTGCATCCAGCCATGGAGAGTGGCTCAGTACCCATATGCCTCACAGTCTCACCTCCAGCCCAGGCCCCAGGCCCAGCTACCTGCAGGTACTGTTTCATCTTCTATGCTACCTGTACCACTCCGGTCTGATCTTCTCCAGGAACACTGACAGCCCCTCTGCCAGGAAGTGCTCCTGTTCCCAAGATTTCTGAGGCACCTCACCTGTGGTAACTATGGCAACACTTTCATGTTACTTGTAGAGTTAGCATACAGACCTTGAGCATTAGCTTCGTGAGAAGAGGACTGTTGTCTCATCCACTCTGTAACCCTGACTGCAGCACATGTCAGGGCTCCTAGCAGGTGCATGATTGGCATGTTTGCCTGAGGAGCAGATGCATGTGAAACAGACACCTGCAGGGAGTCCTGCGAGGTTACCACTGATGTGTTAGTTCCTGGGAGCTGCCGCAACGGTGCCGCAAAAATCGAGTAGTATGAAGCAGGAGTTGACTTTCCCATGGATCTAGGAACTAGATATCTAAAATATGGGGTTCAGTGGGACTTGAAGTCACAGGTACAGTGGAGATATTACCAGTTACTGCAGATGGGCCACCCCAGGGAGTCCAGCAGGGGGCACTGTCTAGAATGGGCTCAGGATGGCCAGAGTCCCTCCAGGTCACTGAATCAGGGATCTCCAGCAGCTACAGTCCACCACGGTTCCTCCCAGCTTCCAGAAGTTTCTGGAAATCCTGGACATTCTTTCATTGCATCTGTACCCATTCCATTCCAGTCTGTTGCCACATGACTCTCTCAAGTGCCTCCCTTAAGCCAGAATTTTTCATAACTTTGTTTTGCTGTATTGCTTGCTTTTGTATATCTATGGCCAAACTCCTGAGAGTAACTTAAGGAAAGGATTATTTATCTCGTGATTTCAGAGTGTCCACTGGCCACTTGCTCCTGTGAGCTTGAGCAGAAGATTGTGACAGTGGGAGCATGTGACAAAAGGCTGACACTCACGTCACAGACAACCAGGAAGCAGAAGCACACGGGAAGGTCCAGGGATGCACACTGCCGGTGGTCCTGTCAGAGGAGCTGCAGACAGCAGAGGAGCTTACAGATCACAGCCCAGAGGAGAACAAGGCTACCACGGGTGCACCCTGGAGAGGCAAAGCCCCAGGAAGATTGTCCCCAGAATGCCCCTTGTCCCTGCTGTGCTTCCTTCTGTCTGCCGCTGCCCTGTTCCTGCTGTGTATCCGCGTAGTGTGACCACTACATAAAGGGATCCCACTCTATATCTAGTAGAGTGTGATTGCTTCTTGAGAAAAGCCCACTCCTCACTCGGCAATTTCAGATCCTAATGAAGATAATTTCAGTAAGAGCAGTGAAGCTTAGTTGAATTAATGATTTAATTGGACTTTCTGAGTTAGCCTAAAAGATACAGATGGTTAGAACAGTTAGTAAAGATGATTAGGGACATGATTTAGGATATTCTGCCAATTGTTCCAATAAGAGATACAAAACAGGCAAATACAGGCTAAAAGTTACCTCTTCCCCTTGGTTAGATAAGAGATTTGCAGAGGACGGGAAATAAAAACAAGGAAGTTTTATTCACTATAGACCCATGAATTCTGTCTGTGGAAAAACAGACTGATGATCAAAGAAACAGTTATGTCCCTGCACCCAAGGTTAGGCTGAATTCCTTGGTCATGTAGTTTACAGAATTAATCACAGGCCCCGGTATGCATCTTGAAAAAAAAAAAAAAAACAAAGTTGTGAAAGGAAAATGACCTTATTGTGTAAAGAAAAATAGATTGTTAGCCAGACCATTTAAATGAAATTTTGTAGGAATCTGCTGCATTGAAGCGCATGCCAGAACAAAGGAACTGGCTGAAATATACTTGGCTTGCTTAAAACTTTGTTAATGTTAATCATCTGTAAAAGAATCATTGCTTTGGGGCGAAGATGCTTTGTTGGGGAGTAAGTACAAAGAAAGATGTTCAGCTACTTGTGGGCTTCTAAGGAAAACATGTGACTTGTGATCTTAATGTGATTTTTCCTTTGTAAAGATTTTAATTTGTTTTTGGAAAACATGTAACTTGTGGTTGTGAGATAATCTTTTCTTGCACAGAAATCTTTGTATTAGGAGGTATAAAAAGGGGTAAGAAAAGATGAGAGAAGGAAAGGAGGAGAAGGAAAGGTATAGATGAAAAACATCAGGGAAACAAGTGGGAAGAAGGAGGAGGAGGAGGAAGAGGAGGAAGAAAACAATACATAAAAGAACAGAGAAAGAACAGGGTATGAAGAACAAATAACAGAAAAAATAAATGAAGAGTTAAACTTTGACACATTTCCCATTTATGTCTATGTGTCTGTTCCAGCAGTTCACCTAGCCACATCTCTCCAGTTTCCCTGACCTGCTGCCACTGAGCCCCTCCTCAGCAGCACACCTTCCAGAACCCACACACAGACCTCCTTCCTCTAATCAGGTTTCACTTTCCTAAGTTTTCATAATCTCCCACAACAGTAACTCAGCTGGGGCCTTGGTGGGGGGCATCTCAGATTCAAACCATAACAGCCCTGTTTCCACATGGGCTTGTGCCATGGGTGCTAGGGGTAACACATCGACATGGGTTTTGACACTGTGCAGTCCACAATGTCAGAGGAAAAGGGACGTTCATATGGGCTGACTCTTTTAGTGTCGTCCCTGCTCATGTGGCCATAGTGAAACAGAACCCCTGTTATTGTAACAAGTATTTCTTGTGACCACACAGAAAAGGTGGACACAGATCAGAGGGGACACGAATCCTCCTGCCCTGGCTTCAGGGAGGTCACTGGAGCAGTTTGATCTTGAATTCCTCCCATGGTGCAGTCAGTCACTCATACAGGGCTCTCCTCCCCGACCTCTTGCATGCAGGGTAGTCATGCCTCTGCACCCTGCCAACAGAATATGGGTGACAATGAGATGTATCCTCCCAGCTGGGTTGTGGTGGTTTGAATGAGAACGGCCCCCATAGGCTCATGTGTTTGAATGCTTGGTCTCCAGTTGGTGGAACTGCTTGGGAAGGATTAGGAGCTGGGTCCTTGTTGGAGGAGGTGTGTCACTGGGAGAAAGCTTTAAGGTTTCAAATGCCAACGCTATTCCCTAGCATCTCTCTTTGCCATATGGCTGTTGTCTCAAGATGTAAGCCCTCAGCACCATGCCTGCTTGCTTGCCTGCCTGCCTGCCTGCCTGCCTGCCTGCCTGTCTACTCCCCACCATGATGCTCATGGACTCAGCCCCTGAAACCATGAACCTCCAATAAACTTTTCTGTAAGTTTCCTTTGTCATGGTGTCTTGTCATAACAATAGAAAAGTAACTAAGACATGGATTTATTTCCACCCCTTTTCCTCTGCCACCCCTCTGCCACCATTGGTGAGAGGCCCAAGGCAGAGTCCTTAGCCAGAGGTCTAAGAATTTGAATAGTAATAAATCGCATGTTGACATTCACCAGTCTGTGGATAGTACATGGCACCTCCTTCCATCATGAATATAGACACGGCCTTCATGGGACAGCTTCACAGAACTCAGAGGTCTATGACAGAGAAATCCTAGGCATCTTTGGGTCACAAGAGAGACTGGGAATATACAGCATACTTCACTTCTTGTTCCTTCAGAAGTCGAGCTTCATTAGATCTGCTGCTGGCATTTGATGCATTGATCAAAACACCTGTATGTGTCTATTCTTCAAACATGTTTGTAAACAGTCTGATAACTACATCTCAAGCTGTCTCTTTTATGTCTGTGTGCCTTATTCAGGGTATGGTGTGTGTGTGTGCACACGCATGCGCACTTGCGCACGCGTTCATGTTCATATATGTGGGGAACTCATGGAGGACATTTGCATAAATATGTGTGGAGACCAGAGGTTGATGTTAGTTGTCTTCTTCAATTGCTC